TTTTTTTGTTAAACATATAAAAATTATTTGAGTTTTTATTGTTGTAAATATCAAATTACAACAATAAATATATATTTTTTATGAGCTTATGATAACGATAAAATTTTATATATTCAATTTCAAAAATTGAAAATATGTAAACTGAATATACATATAAGAACAAATGAATATAAATATAAACGACATCAAAAAAAAAAAATTATATGAGTGTCAAACGATTATTAAGAGAGTGTTGCTCTATAGAGAAAGAATATATATTATTTCACTAAAAGAATATTGGGGCAATTACAAAAATGTCACTTTTTGTATGCACATTTACAAAAATGTCACTTAGGGGTGTTCATTTACAAAAATGCCACTAATTATAGATTTATAAAACCTATATCTTAAAATTCTAAACTCTAAAAAATGTTTTGACACCTAAAACCCCTTAAACACTCAAAACTAAATCATAATATAACATTGTTAACCCAAACATAAATTATATAATGAAAAAATAATTTTGAAAAAGTGGCATTTTTGTAAAGATTTCAAAAGTGTGGCATTTTTATAAAGTGACACTTTAAAAGTGGCATGTTTTTAATTTTCTCAAGAATATTGAACCATCTCATGAAAAATGAGATAATAAGATGAAAATTTTGTTCATAATGTCATATTTTAATTTCATGGAAGTATGAAAGAAAAAAATTAAAGTGTTATATATTTAAAAGATATAAGAGGTATAAATTGGTGTAAGAAAAAAATAGCATATCACGCGAGTTATATTTTATTAAAAATAATTAAATGAATGATTAAAAGTAGCATAAATTTGTAAATGGTTAAATCAAATTTTGTCTTTAACTTTAATAAAATTGTATAACTCATGTATCACGCGAACCATATTTTAAGATTATTTGAGTATTTTATTTTCTAAATAAAATTCACAATAATGAATATATTTCATTTATATTGTAGTTTATTAGAAATTAATCAAAATACTATGAGTTTATATATAAGAAAGATGAATACAAATGTAAATGAACGATATGAGATAACAGAAAAAAAAATTATGTTATTTATTGAATCATCATAATTGAGTTTCAACCGATTGTCAGGAGGTTGAAGGTTTAAAAAGAAAGAAGATATATGATTTCATTAAGAGAAATTTTGAAAAATTAATTTTCACTAATAATAGATGAGAAAAATATTTTATTCAAAAAGAGGATATTGAACAATTTCACTAAATATGAGAAAATAAGGTAAAATTTTGAAATATAAGATTTTATTCAAAATTTTATATTTGAGTTTCTTTGAAAATATACAATAAAAAATTGAAAACGCTGTAATACCATAATTTAAATAAATATAAAAAGAGAAATTTTGATAAACGACACTTTTTAAAAATACCACTTTTTCAAAATCTTTGCAAAAATGCCATTTTTTAAAATTATTTACTCATTATATCATTTATATTTGGATTAACTATATTGTATTAGTGGCACGCCAAAAGTGGTATTTTTGCAATTGTCCCTATAAAAAAACTTAAGGTTTGATACATATAAAGTAAAAAATAAATGGNGACATTATTCATAAATTGTACAACAAAATACATGGGCAATGATATATGATCTTTATGTAAAAATATACGTAGTTCTATACCATAATCCAAGAAAAATACATATTTAATAATTTAATATTTTAACCAATGATTTTAACACAAAAAAATCTAGAAAAAAAAGTTTGAAGTGTTTAAGAAAAAGGAAAAAAAAGTTTATGTATAAATTAAATATATTGATATATGCGTTGCACGATTATAGTTAGAATATGTTTGAAGATTGGATGGAGCTATATTTCAAGAAAGAATATAATAATAAATTATCAAAACCTAAAAAATATTTATTTAAAATCAATGCCAATGTAAAAGAATTTTTTTTATTAAAACAAATTTTCACATCTAAATTGATAATTAACCAATAATATTAGAGTGTGTTAATGAATGTAAAAAGATACTTATATACTAACATAAATACCTACCAATACATGATATACATGATATAGGTACAAAATATAGGAAAATAGCTCAAAAAAATAAAAAGAAATCAAACTCGCGCAACGCACGAATCCAACCCTAGTCTTAATTAATTATATAGCAAATTTGTTTTAATATATTGATTGAGTATGACGTGTTAACATTTGGCCTGATCTCGTCAATGTTTCGTCTAAAATAGGTTCTTGTGTTATATCATTAACACAAAATATCTTCGATTAACAACAACAAAGAGATGATAAAATCATTCACATTTAAAATAAAATTAGTAGATTGTACCCGTCCATTACTTTCATAAATTTTTTTAGAAATGCCACTTTTAAATTTTGAACAATCACTTTTTAAAAATACCAAATTTTTAAAATCGTTTCATAAATA